GTTTCCCGCTGTCGCCCTTTTTCTGCGGTTTCCAACCCAAAACACCATGTTAATTCAACATACATTTTTTTAGTGTTACTCTTTCCCTCCTTCGGCTGTGCGGAACCCACTCACGCTGGCTCCTTCCACTTAGAAGAAATCCCGGTGACCTCTGAGTGCGTGGGCCAGCGTGTGGGTGCACACGTGTGCCCATGTGAACACGTGTGTGCACGGGTGTGTGTTCAGGCCGACAACAGGCTCCCGCACTCATTTCGAGCCCTGCTGACCCAGGACTGCGAGTGAGCTGTGCTCCACAGGAGCCTGGCTCCCCCCAGTGAGAAGCGGCACCGAGGGGCTGGGCCCGCGTGTGAGGGGCTCGTCCCTCCTGGGCCGCCATGGCCCCGGGCATCCCCAGTGCTCAGAGGTGGAGCACCAGGCTTTTTATAGAGGGAACAGTTACACCTTCATACTGGTGTCCACCGTTCAGGTTGGATGACAGGGCCCTTAACTTTGTGGCTCAACACTAGTGTATTTGTGTCCCCGTGACCCTAACAGACTCCTGGTCCCCCAGGGCAAGATGACATCACAGAGCGGGCTTTCTCGTTAACGCTCAGGGCACAGCCTCCCTGGTGCTGTCTGGTCTGTGTCGCTCTTGCTGGAAACTGAGGGACTGGTCAGTTCTGACCTCCGACGAAGGCCTCCCCAGGGCCGGGGCAGCCGCGGGTCGGTGGGGTATGCAGGCTGCAGGGAAGGGCCTCGTGCGGGGTGGGAAGGCTTCATCGACGCGGGCCCGGACAGGCTCTGGCGTTTGCGACGGGAGAATCGGCTTGTCTGGGCACTGACCCGCTTGGTGCTGCAGTGTTCCTGTTCACGGATGCACCATTTTCTGTGTGGATGCACAGACCCCACTGCCCCAGTGACAATGACGGGTTCCGACGGGAGTTTGGAAGCCACCGGTCACTGATGGGTGGCCGCTCCCAGGTCCTGGTGGCCCCTCAGTCGCCCCTCTTGCAGGGTCTCAGCTGTCTGCCTGCGAGATGGTATGTGGTCCTTTGGAGGCTGTTTGCTTCCTCCCCTCTAATTTCTGCAGGAATGAGGGTCATGTGTGTTTTTGCTCAGAGTCACCAACCCAGTGTCCCTCCTGGTGCCTTGCCACAGGGTGGGAATAGCGTGAGGACCTCTGGTAAGAAGGTCTGCCTCTGGTCCTGCCACCGGGGGACAGCTCCTGGGTAGACCCATTGTCGGCTGAACAGAAGCTTCCGGACTAGTTGCTACAAGGGACCCAGGGGCCCATTGGCAAAACGCTGCTCGATGCAGGTGACTGTCAGCGTCACGGCCGCAGCGGTGCCGTCAGTGCTATGGAACTTGTCGGAAAAAATGCCGTAGTTTTATTTTCCCAAAGGCTGCTTTTCTTGCTTAACACAAGCTTTCCCTGCCCTTAAAGCAGCCGACACCTCAACGCAGCTGCGCACAAGCAGCAGACGCCAGGGCCGCGCACTGCAGCAGGGCCGCCGTGGGCGTGTGACGCGCAGGCTCGGAAGGTCGCGGCAGTTCCCAGCGCGAAACGGTCCTGAAATCTCACAGCTTTCTCTCTGGTGTAGCCCGTATTTTGTAGTAACCTGTCACTTCTGCTGCTCCCTGCACCCACCGGAGTTTCCTGTGCACCCTGAATTCTGCGCCCCGTTTCACCAGGAGCATAACAAGCAAGGGTGACGTGGTCGTCCCTGGTGTTGCCCTGGGGGTCTGCCATGGTGAACAGAGTTCTAGGACTGTCCAGTGCTGATGGTTTCTGGGGGCGCGCCGTGACAGCCCAGAGCCCTGTGGACTCCAGCCGACATGGCTTATCTGTGGGGGTGTCTCACGTGGCCTTTGTAAAGAGGCCCGCCTGTCAGTGGCCGGGGCCGTGCTCCGTGGTCTGGGACCCCTGCCCAGTGCCCTTCCAGCTTTGTCACCTGCCCGCACTTTTGCAAGCCCGGCACAGCCCAGCGGGACTGCCTTTCCAACTTGGCTTGTCTTAGCCCATTTAGAAACGGAGTGGTGGAAAGGGACCCTAAAGGGATTTTCCTGAGGTCCCCGGGCACGAACGGTTTCTCTTTTGAGGGGGATGACCGACCCTGGCCCCGGCCCTACCGCCAGCCCCCAGAGCCCGTCCTCAGATGGTGGAGGCCCCGCCCAGCTGAGCAGACTGATCTCCCCGCCTGGGGCAGCAGGCCTCCGGGGCGAGACCTGCGAGCCTCCCCTTCCAGTCTGTGCGCGTGAGTGCCTCGCCTCTGGGGGTGGGCGGTGGTGAACCGCAGGGTGGCAGTGATGGAGGCCGTAGCTCCAGGCCTGCCCTCAGGGGCCCCTGGCTCGGGTGGGAGGACCGGTGGGTTCAGCAGCCACATTTCCCAGGATGCTCTTCCCCCAGCCCGTCATGGGGGCAGGGTTTCCAGGAGAGAGGGCAGGGAAGGGTTAGGGACAGACCTGGGTCATTCGGCCTGGCCTGGAGCGGGGACACAGACGCAGGGGTGGCCAGGGCTGTGGCCTTGGGAACCTCCCGGGGGAGCAGCCAGCCGAGTCCACGACAGTGCTGAGGGCAGCGGGTACTAGATGGCAGGGGGTGGCAAATCCGAGCTGGCCAAAGGGGTGCAGGGTTACACGGTGTACGAGGCGGCAGGTGGAGGCCGCAGGCGGTGGCGGGGAGAAGGCGCGCTCTGTGCTGAGACGGCCAGGGCCCTGCTCACCGCTGCCCGGGGAAGCGGTGACCAACTCTCCCAGCTGTCCTGCCAGGGTGCAGCTTCGGTCAGTTGGGTGACCACTGGGGGCGCCAGGGCCGTGATCTCCGCCTGGCCGGCCCGCCCCCGGTTTCTCTCCCCAGGGCCCAGCCTCCACCCGCTCTGGGTGAGCCCCTCAGTTTAGATGTCGCCCTGGCTCTCAAAGTCACAGGGTCAAAACAGGGTTGTTACTCTCCTGAGGTCTCCCCTCCAATAACCCCCAGGCCCATCGTCCAGCAGGGGGTCTGGGTTGTGTTCGCTCACAGGGTCTGCGGTTGGCTGGCTGGCCGGTTGGTTGCTCTCGGACGGTCCCTGCGGGGACAGCCACCCCTCTCCTGATGGCAGCAGCAGGGACGTCTGCATCCCACACATGCCAGACTCTCGGGGATGCAGGCGGGGGCGGGGGGTGGAAACTCAGTTGCTCTGTAATCGTCCTCTAGCTGTCGGATCTTCTCCCTGTGTGTCCCATGGGTCACACAAGTCACGTGGCCAAGAATCAGAAGCGGAGGGGACTACCAAGTTGTGGGGCAAAGGGGCTGAAACAGGGTGACCCTAAGTGAGGGCCGTCGGTCTAGTGGGCGTGCCCCGTCTGACCCTGGGGTCGGGCTGTGTGGCCTCCCCGCACCTCAGCTTTCTCCTTTGTTTAACGGGGTCCCCAGCTGTGGCGAGGGGAGACGTCCGGAGGATTTGTGGACTGAAGCATTCAGAAGGCTCCGTGAAGGGCAGGGGCGTGGTTAAACCCGGGGGTCGGCTGCAGTCTCCCCAGGCGGTGGTTACAGCAGCAGTCCCGGTTTTTACTGGTGGTCGCCCGGGCGGGACGAGAACCCACTCAGCGCCCCCAGACCAAGGCGGGGTGAGGGAGCCGCAGCGGCGGAGCTGTGGCGACGTGTCTACGCGGCTCTGAAAGGCGTGTGTGGGCTTTCAACCTAATTTTGTTCTGCCTGCTGCGCGGAGCAGTGCGTGTGATCTTACCCGTGCGTTTGGAACGGGCTCCAACCGTGATTTACCGGAAGTGAGGGCTGCGGTGCTGACACCGGGGTGTCACAAAGCCCGTCTCGGAGAAGGGGGGCGCGTGGGTGCCGACGGGTCCTGCTGCGTGCGGCCAGGTGCCCGGTGGGAACAGCCAGCTGGAAGCGGCCCCAAGTTTCAGCGAACAGAACAGAAACCTGGTGAACGAGGGAGGGTTTGAACTTCAATATGGCACTGAATTTCTGCGATGATGTAGCCACAACAAACAGGCTTCTCTGGGGGGTGGGGAGGGCGCCCGACTGTCTCCGGGCTCAGAGGCAGTGGCTGAAGGTGCGCAGGGCTGCTGGCAGGTGCCAGCCACATGAGGCCGTGGGACACTAAACCGCCAGGCGTTTTCCACACGGTGTCTCTGGGGACCATTTCCAGAACTGGTGTGGGGACGCCCTGGATGGTGGAATTGTCGGTGGGTTCAGTCTGCTCCAGGCCCTGACGTGTTGCTGAAGAGAAATGTCTCCCTTCTCCTGATCCTCAAGGGCTTCCCAGAGAAAGCCTGACAGTCGTTTTTAACAACCTTAAATCACTTTTATCTCTGTGACATATGGGCTCTTCACGGTTTCCTACAGCAACGCTTGAAAATAAAAACGCTTCGCCCCAGTCTGTGGTTCCCATGTCTTTGTGGCTGAGTGGCGGTGCCCTTGGCCTCAGCCGCGGGGGCCAGGTGTGGCGTCTGGAACTGTCCCCGGACAGATGCATGTCCTAATGCCAAGCTGCTTTATTTTAGAACATGACGGTGCTGGCTATTTTTAAATTTTGTTTTTCTATCCTCATTGTCATTGCTTTTAGAGAGAGAGGGAGGGAGAGAGAGAAACACTGATACGAGAGACAAGTGTTGGTTGGTTGTTTCCTGTACGTGCCTGGAATGGGCATGGCAGGCGCCCAGGCTGGGAATCAAACCTGCAGCCTAGGTGTGTGTCCTGACTGGGGATACGAGCCCGTGCCTTCTTGGTGACAGGCCAATGCTCCATCCTGCTGAGCCGTACCGGCCAGCGGTGTGTTGGCTGTTTTTAAAACCCAGTTACTCTGTTTGAACCTCGGCGGCCCGGCGGCGCCACCCAACACTGAGCACTAGCAACGGTTCTGCCGCGTTTCTGGAACAGCCGCCCGGGGCGGGCCGGCTGCACTGTCCTCCAGCTCTAGTGAGGTGTCATTGACACGCAACACCGCGGGGACTGAAGCGGTGTGGCCAGCTGATTCCACACACCTCTCCGCTGCAGAGTGACCACCTGCACAGCGCGGGCCGGCACCCCTCCCTCCCCTCCCCTAACAGCCGCTTCGCGTGTGCGGAGAATGAGGAGGACATTCACTCCCTACGCCCTCGGGAATCCCTGGGTGGAGGACAGCGTGTGCTGTTGCCGTGATCACCACGCTGGACCTTAGACCCAGAAATCACCCATCGTGGGACCAGGAGTTTGCACTGTTTGACCAGCATCTTCCCCAGCAGCTGCCCCCACTCTGTGCCTCCCTGTTCTGCTCTGTGGGATTCCGCGAGCGCCCGTCTGTCTGCGAGTGCCAGGCTGGCCCCTCCACGGGGTCTTGGTCTTCCCGTGTGAAGGGTGGGGGGAGGGCGCGGGGCACGTCTCCCCTCCAGTAGGGGGCAGGCTTCTGTTCAGAATGAATGGTCCTGTCGTGGGGCAAATTCACCTGTCACACTGGATGTTGAAAATCCCTCCAGGACATGGCGGTGCCACCCTCCTGAGTCTTCAGCCGACCCGGTAAGGAGAGTTGTGGTCACGCAGAGCTTGCCCACGCCGGGCCCGAGGGACATCTCTCGGTGGTCCCCTGTCGCTCGGGGGGTGGGGGCGGCTGCAAATGCAGGGTCCCGCAGGGTCCCCCAGGGTCGATGTGAGGAGACTCCTGCTGGTCTCGTTTGGCGTGGAGATTCCGAGTCGGGACCGCGCCTTCCCCGAGAAGCGGTGTCGCCTGCTCTCTCAGTGCCGGCCCGGGACAAACCGGCCTCACCTTCGACCATGGACCCCGTCCCCCGTCCGCCCTCCCCTGCCGCACCAGGCCGGCCACGCACACTGCTCCCTGGGCCCCGGCCCCTCGTCGCCCCCCACCTTGGAGGGCTTCCTGCCAGTTCAAAAATAATGTGTCATGCCCTCTTGAAAGCAGCCGGCAAAGAGGTTTTTCTGATAATAGAATAAAAATAGATCGGTGTTTAGGGACCCATGCCCATTTGGATGCGTGAATTCGACCCATTTGTTGAGACGCCGGTCACGTTGTCTAGATTTTATACCTCACACGTGACCTTGTTCTTTCAAGGTCGGCTAGTGGGGACCACGCTGCGTTTCCAAAAGGGACATGATTTTCCTCCTCAGGAGCTCGTCTTCGTGGAAAAGCCCCCTCGGTCCCAGGGTGGGGGGAAGGACGGCCCCTGCAGAGGGCGGAGCCACGGCAGCGGAACTCCGGAGGGGCCGCACACAGGCTCTGCGGGGGTGTGGAGCTTCTCAACACAAACTCGGTGGGATCAGTCGATTTTGAAAATGTGCGGTGTGACGGGCAGGCAGTGCCAGGACCGTGTCATTAGCCTCGTCCCCCGGGCGCAGGAGTCCTTCTGAGGAGCAGTGACTTCGCTGCAGTGGAAGGGGGCAGGGGCCCCATCCGGGGTAACCAGCCCCGCTCCGGGCCCGGCTGCCGGGTTTTCCTGACGCCCCTGGTCCTTGAACCCGACCTGGAGATGCTCTCCCCACTGACCACAGAGAGGGGCCCCTCGCCCCCGACCCTGAATCAGATCCAGTTCACATACTTGCTCTTCGAATTCTTACTCAGAGGCCAAGCTCGAGACCAGAGCTTGAGAGCGTATTCCTTGGATGTAAACGGACTTCTGTTTTTTACGGGCAGCGGGGACTGTCACTTGAAAGACGCGTGTTTGCGTGGGGGAAATAAGTGTTATTTTCTCTCACGCAAGTTCGACGAAACCCAACTTGCACAGAGAGGCGCCGGTGCCCCCGCAGCTGTGGGGGCTCCTGTCCCAACTGCGCTCGCTCCGTTTGCCAGGCCCTGGAAGGCCCCGGGGCCGTGGTCTCTGCAGTGGCTCCAGCCGCTGGGACGGGACGTTTGCGCTCCTGGGAAGGGTTTCTCCAGCGTGACGTCCGACACCCCGGGTGCCCCTGGCGCCTTCTGGACCACGCTGACCCGGCTTCATGAGGCCGGGGCCGGCTGGGGCAGCGGCGTGTCCACCACCCTCGCTCGCCCGGCCTGACGGGGCCCCTGGTGACTTTGTATCTTTCCCTGGACACGGACAAGCTGCTCCCCAGGAGGACGCGGCGCGTTTTTCAAGGGTGTCCTGGCCGTGGTGGGTGGGAGCTCCTCCCAGACAGGGGTCTCCGGGGTCTTCACAGGGTCCCTGGGCTTCGGATGTGGGCACATTTTCTCAGAGTCACCACTCGACCTTCTGAGCCTCCTTGGTGTCTTGTGGCCGAAAGGCACCCAGCAAACCCTTCCTTTGAATTTCACCGGCTGCCCTTCCACCCGCCACCTAAGCTCTGGAAGTGGAACTTAGTGCTTTTTCGGGAACTGACCTTAATCTGGGGTCTGGTGCGGCTCCCTCCTCAGGTGCACGGTGGGGGGACCCAAAAAGCTCAGAACTTACTCATAAAAATTGTGTATTGATTCTTGCATGGATTTCAGTCACCTTCAAAGTGCTCTCCACTGGATGCCATGCACCTATTGGGATGCTTTTTCCGCTGCTCAGAACAGCTTTGAACTTGTCCATTTTCATGCCTTTCAGTGCTTCTGCCATTTTTTGTTTCACGTCTTCCACATCGGCAAGATGCTCGCCTTTGAGGACCTTCTTCATCTGGGGAAACAAAAGTCGCTCAGGGTGAGTAGGGAGGGTGGGGTACAGGGGTCGTGCCATTTTTGCTCAAAAACCGCTGAACCCTCAGTGTGGCGCGGGCAGGTGCTCTCGTAAATCACCCATCAGGAAACAGGCAAATGAATTGAGTTTTCGAAAAAATTCACTGGAGCCAAACGTGGCTTCTCACAGCAGCGCCAGCTGGTGCGAGACACAGATGGGCCCCTAGGGCACTCACCCTGTGGGGGGGCCAGGACTGCCAGGGCCCCCCCCATGTGAGTTCATGTTGCCTCTTTGAGCTGGTGTGTCCACACACTCGTCAGGATCCTGGGATTTCGGGCAAGTTCAGTGAAACCCTTGGTTTCATCAAGTGCTTGGTTCTGCTGGCCCGGATCTTCCTGTGTTGTGGTCGTTAGTGGAAGACACATCCGTGGAGTGTGGTGTGAGGGGGGAGAAGACAGTCACTGAAGTGAGATGGGGTCCCTGGAACGGATGCCCTTGTTTAACAGACACATAGTTATTCACTTAATTACAGGTGCAGTGGGAGAGCGGGGTTGGCTGCCTCGGGGCGTGGAGGGGCCTGGCCTGCTCCAGCCAGAGGCCCCTGGACGGAGGCCCTTGGAGCTAATTCTGATGGATAAGAGCGGGCATCGCAGAGGAAAGGGGGGCATCCTGGCGGGGGGTGGGCAGCAGCTAGGAAGGCCTGGAGCTGTGAGCAGGCCAGGGAGCCAGGAAGGGAGCCCGGGGAGTGGAGGCAGGAACCGCCCAATGGAAGCAGAAAGCCAGGCACCAAATGGCCAGGTGTGCCGAGGGTTTGAAGCACTGGAGGCCAGATGAGGTGCAGGGTTCCAACTGTCCCCCAGCTGTCCAGTGGAAGGTGGACACTGGGGGCTCTGGGGACGCAGGGACGTCCAGGGGGCATGGAGGGTGGCTGGGATCGGTGGGGGGAGCTCGATTGCTTTCCATTGGGAGACAACCTAATTTACATTCAGAGACTCGCCCAATTTAACTTCATTAAAACGGAATGCAAGTCCACGCAGGACAGCTTGGTAAATTAACACATGAGGCACTGGGAAGATAAGCGCTCAGGATTAAAACTCCGGCAAGCCAATAAATACCCTGCAGGGAGGAGCTGCCCTGGCTGGTGGGCCGGGGTGGGGGCTCAGCCAGTGGGTGGTCGCCCCTCCAGGCTCTGCCCTGGGGACACCAGCTGGGCTCAGGCACTGAGGCTGAGACCAGGGCAGGTCAGCTCCCCAGCCTGTCCCCACCTTGTTCCCAGCAGCATGGCCAGCAGGGAGGGCTGCTGGGTTTGAGGGGACAACAGAAGGGAAGGAACTTGGCAGGCTGTGCTGGAGGCCCGGCTGCCAAAACCACTGCTTGGCCGGGAGCAGGCCAGAGGCTGCCTGACCCACAGCAGCTCTGGCCCTGACAGCAACCAGCCAAGGCTGCCCGGTGCACCTGCCATCTGTCAGCCGGGGCTCTGTCTGGGCCACCCACCAAGAACGCGCCCTCTGTCAACTCTGGTTAGTGGGGTGGCGCCCCCTGAGCAGTCCTCTGGCCCCTGAAATGGCATCAGGCACCTTGGCGACCGGGGCCGTGGCCGTGGCTGTGCCTGAGGGCGGCTGCCATGACGCTGGGAAACAGGTGTTTCGCTCCAGGCACTCGGTTCATCCCTGGCTGTCAGCCTGATGGGTCTGCAGGTGGGAAGGCTCCCGGGAGCCTGCCCAGGGCCCTGTTTCCTCTTCCCGGGACTGCTGGGTTCTGTGATAGCCTGATCTTCCGTGCAGTGTGGCGGCTCCTGGCGCCTGGTGTGTGCTGTCCATCCAAAAAGGAAGCCAGCCTCTGCCACCCAGTCTGCGGTGCACAGAGCAGCACGGGCCTCTGGGTCTCTGCCCACAGCCATCGGACGTCGCAGGGCGCTATCACCCGCGGGCCGTGCAGCCGCACGGGAAGCTGAAAATCGCTGTGTGCCAGTCACAGCAAACGACCCGAGCTCATCTGGAACCTGGGCAGGCGTGTGTGTGTGTGATGAGCCCCTGAACGTCCTACAGGGCGGCCTGGTGAGGGGGATAAGCAGGGACAGGGTGGAGATGCTGGAGTCCAACTTCAAGGCCAGTGTTGGACTTGAAGTTCCTCGTCGGAGACCACCACTTGGAAGTTGGCTCGTGTGTGAGTGTGGAGAGGAGACGGGGTCTCGGTCCGGCCGGCCTCTGTGTGGTGGGGGTGGGCTTCGGCGCCCCAGTGTGGACACCACCTGTTTCAGGTGACAGGTCTCCCGGTTCACACCAGCCTGAGCTATAAATGGGCTTGTGATTCTGAGCCGTGCCGAGACCCGGTACAGCGACACCCCTGGGCAGGACCCTCGGTCCCCACTCTTGGCTCTGCTCCTTTCCCGGGCCCCTCCTCAGGGCAGACTGGGCACAGGGTCTGTCTACTCGGCCCTGCTTGTTCTTATCCACCCAGAGAGACCATGGACTTAGGTCTCCTCGGTCACTGTCAGTGTGAGCCGATGGACAGGCTACTCAGATGCTCCATTTGCAGGCGCTGGGGACCAGCAGAGGGGTGCGGACTGGGGGAGGACCGGTCCTCCCATCACCCTGCCAAGTCACCTGCCTTTTGGCGATTCTTTAGATGTATCTTCGTAGACCCCTTCTCTTTTCTAGAATCTGTGCGTTGTCCTTTCTGAGATTCCCGAACAGCACCCTGTACAGCGTACAGCTCACACGGCCTTTTCCCAAAAGCCCTCGGCAGAGATGGGGGCTGATCAGCTCATGCAACTGAACATGCGGGAGGAGAGGGTCGGTTTGTGTCTGTGATGAATGCGGGGCTGTCCTGCTGGAGGGACCCGTGGCCTGTCGCTGCCCTTTGGGGTGTGGGAGACTCTTTCCTCGGCCCAGTCCTCACTCCCGACTGCCCCACGGTGGCCCTTTCCCTCCCCGGGTGTCCGGGCTGGAAGTCACCTGACAAGGGCCATGGGAGAGGCCTGGGGAGCTTTGGTGAGGCCCCTCCTCCCTGGGGGAGGGGGAGAGGCAGGTCCGCACCGGTCAGAGAGAGCCAGGAGTGGGCCGCACACACCTGTCTCTCCACTAACTGAGCAACAGACAGGCTCGCAGTTTCGGACACGGTATTCACTGCTGGTGACTGTTCTTCCACTGAGGCAGCGCTGGGCCTGAAATGAAACCATTTTGAATGGTCTGTGGAATTATGAAGAATCATTTTCCTAGATCAGAAAGAAAGGGCTATTGGTCACCGTGTCGGTTCCGGGCCCTTGGGGCTGAAGCCGGGCAGAATCTGGGGGGCACGGAGGGTTCTTGTTTGGGGAAACCCTCCATCTTCTTACCTCCTCTGGCGGAGTTCTGTGTCAAACCGCACGGAAATGGGAGTTTTCAGGAGAGGGAGGTGCTGCCGCTGGGGGCGGGTGGGCTGGACAGATGCGCCCCAACCGGAGGGCGCCCTTCCTCCTGCCCGCGAGTGTCGTGCTCGTTGGAACATCCAGTGGTCCCAGCAGCGCCTGCTGGGCGACAGTTGGGTGCTGCCGAGGACGGTCTGTGCCTGGGCCGGGGGACCTTCGCTCTCGGCTTGGCTGCCCCGATGCGGTTGTTGGTGCTCCACGCCGCCCGGCACCGCCACGGTTCCCGCACTCCGCGGTAAGTCCCGACCTCAGGCGGTTCCATCCGCCAGCTTCGTTCTCCTCCTCCGAAATCGTTTTTGGCCTTTTTAAGTACTTTCCATTTCCATACAAATTTTAGAAGCAGCTTGTGAGTTTTTACAGAAAATCCGCTGTGCTTCTGATTGGGGTCGTGGTAAATCTGGGGGACTTGGCGTCTTAACACTACTGAGCGCTCACAGCCGTGACCTTGGGGTGTCTCTTCCCAGACTTGCGTCTCACCCACTGTCTCTCAGAGAGAGTTTCGGGTTTTGGTGAACAAGGGCTTCATGCGCTGCACTTGCTGAATTTACTGCTAAGTATTTTATGTTTGATGCTATTGCAAAAGGAATTTCAAAAATTTTATTTTACGATTGTTTCTTTAAAGGTTTTATTCTTTTTAGAGAGAGGAGAGGGGCAGGAGAGAGGGAGGGAAGCATCGATGTGTGAGAAACACCCCCTTGTTGTCTGCCTGTTGCACGCTTACAGCCTAAACCAAACCCGACACCCAGGCATGTGCACTGACCGGGAGTTGAACCAACAAACCTTTGACTTTGTGGAACTACGTCCACCCAGGCCACACGGGTCAGGGCTCCAGGTGTCTTTCGCTAGGTGCTGATTGCTTCACAAATTCCCTAGGACTTCCTGTGTAAGTGGTGGGGTTACCTAGAAACACGTTGCTCCTCTTCTCCTTTTCTAAGCTCTGGACTGTGTGCTTGTCACCGTGGCTGGGACTTCCAGCACCACATGGAGTGTGAGAGCAGCCGTCACTCCCGGCATGGGGGGGGCGGGGGAGTGGGGTGGGGGGCACGCTGTCTTCCCACCTGCTCCGTAGTAACTGGAGCTGCAGGCTTGCGTGGTTGCCTTCAGCAGGTTAAAGACGTTTCTTCTGAATCCCGGTTTTTCCTAGGACTCAAAAAAGTCACCAGCAGTGGCTGGGTTTTGTCAAATGGCCTGATGCTTTCTGCGTCCATTGAAATAACTGTACGACTTTCTTCTGTTCTGCTACGAGTGCGGCATATTTATTGACCTTCTTGTGCCAAACCCCCGTGTTCCTGAGATAATTCTCACATGTTCATGTCACGGTCTCCCATGTCGCTGGGTTGCATTTGCTAACGCTTTGTTAAGGCAGTTTGCCTCGTTGTTCGAGCCGTGTTTTCCCTGCGCTTCTGTCCCGCGGCAGGGGGGTTTCACGGTGTCCTATGACAGTTGTGCTGGACTCACAATGGCCTGGCAGAGGGTCCTGCCTTCTTCACTCCCGAGAGAGTTTGTGCAGCGAGAGGGGTGCCATCTTCTTCTGTGGCTGCCATAGGGCTGCTCAGATCGCCTCTTTTCTCTGGTGTCAAATCGGCGCCCTGCGTGTTTCTCCGGAAATTTGTCCGATTCACCTAAGTTGTCGCCTCTGCTGGCTTCCTTGTGCGAACACCCCCTTGTTTTCTGCTTAAAGTTCGTAGGTTCTGCAGCAGCGTCTCACCCTGATCTGTGATCGTGGGGCTCCGGCTCCTTTCCCTCGTTTTTTGGAACAGCCCAGCTCAGGGTTTGCCAACTTTCTTGTTTGTTTCTTATTTCATTGATTTGTCTGTTGTCTTTATTTCTTCCATTTAATTTAGGGTTACCTTGCTGTTCTATTAACACATTCTTGAGTTATGCACTAGTTCATTAATTTATCTTTTTCGTTAAAAATTTAATGTTATAAAACTCTCTCTAAGCACAACCCCCAAGTCATATTTTGTATTTTTATTATCACTTAATTTGGATTTTTCTAAATTCCCCTTGTGTACTCTTCTGGGAGACATGGATTATTTAGAAGTACGTTGTTTAATTTTCACACATTAACAGCTTTTTGAGATATAATGAATGATTATAATTAATATAGTACATTAGTAATATAGAAGTATGTTTAATTTGCACACATTCACAGCTTTTGATTAACTATCATTAATATAAGTACTAATAGAATTAATAATGTAAGATAATTAACTTCTAATTTAATACCACTTTGGTCAGAGAATAGACTTCATATCACTTTAATCCTTTTATATTTAATAAGTCTCATTCCACTGGCCCCCACACGGTGGATCTCGGTGAGTGTGCCATGTCAACTGCACTTGTAGTTCAGGTTTTGGCTGTAGTAGAGAGTAAGTCTGTAGTTCTACTCATTTTTACCCATTTGACCTACTTGTGTCTGTTGAAGGGTGTCGGCCTCTCCAACAGGGTCTGCGGAGCTGCCTGTGTGTGCTTTCGCTTGTGTTGGGTTCGCTTCAGGTTGCTGACTTTGGATTGTACCCTCCGGCTGTGAGCCAGCGTCGCCCAGAGACACCGAGCGACACCAGGGCGGGAGACTGCTCTGTGCCTCCGGAGACACGCGTTTCTTTTCCTAGGCCGCCGGTAAGCGTGGCTCAGCTCAGACTTCAGGCCGCCCGTGCGCGGTCAGGGGCTCTCAGCCCCAGCAGGCTGCATGGCGCGTTTGCGCCCAGAACTCCCCGGACTGCCCCGCCCTCCCGGCCGCAGAATCTCTCCTTCACCCTGCAGGGGGTTGGAGATCCCCCAAGTCCTCTCTACAGCTGTCTAAGCCGAAGTGTGGCTGCCCGGGGAGCCCCAGAGTGGCCTGCTCTCCGACGAAAAGTCCGGGAAAGGGGGCGCTCACCCACGGAGTCCCATTCGTTTTTCGTCTGCTCCCTCCAGGTCGCCGCCCGCCTTTTTTAGGTCACCCTCTGCGGCCTGCTGACTTAAAAGTAGTCACTGGCTGAAGTTTTATGTTTTTATCGCTGGAGGGCTGACGCCCTCAGGGCTGTCTGTCTACAACCGGAAGTGGGCGATCCATCTGTTTCTGTTTTCCAACATTTGGTTGCTGTTGACTTTCGCGCTTTGATCCTCAGCTTCTGAACCCGTGCTATTTTTAGCCCTCCGCTGCTATGTTAATGAGGTTTCGTGGGCAGCTGCTGGAAGTGCATTTCTTCAAGCTGCCACTTTAATCCAGTCTGCAGTGCTCTCTCTCTTCTGTATGATTTCCAAAAAGTTTCTGGGTTAAAGCAAGTGCACACTTTCAAGGCGGTGACAGTGCGACCGCAAGAGTGCGGGTCTGCGAGTGACTTGCCCTCCACCAGGAAGAGGGGCTGTTTGCAGAGGAGCCGGCCGGCTTCCCTGGCTCTGTGCAAGCAGGAAGGCCCACGGTCATATCCAGGATGCGGCCAGGACCAGGGGCCCCTGGGCAGAACTCGGGTGGGAAGGCTTTATCCAGTCCAAGACCCAAAGCAGGTTCCCTCACTTCATAGATTGACCTGAGACCCTTCGTCCTTTTGGAACATCTAGCTCCTCACTGGGCGGGGCTTACCTTCTCCAATCAGGAACAGCTATCTCTGTCACTGGGCGGGGCTCACATTCTCCAATCTCCACCTCCAGTCATCGCATCTACTCGCCCCAAGTTCCGGCTGTGAATTTATCATGAAATTAATGGAGGCCTGGTGACGGATGGTGTGGGGTGATGGACAGAGCTCCGTGATGGGCAGAGCTCGGGGTATGGGAGGAAGCGCCCAGGACTCAAGATCACAGGCGGCCTCTGGAAACCAGCGCCTTGGCCCTGAAGCCGGCGGGAGGAGCACAGCCCTGCAAGCGGCAAGCGAGGAGGACTCCCGACCTTCAGAGCCGGAGCAGGACGAGTTCGTGTTGCTTTGAGGCACTAGGTGTATTCTGTTAGAGCAGCCCTCCGAAACCTCCCCCACTTCCAAATAAATGGTAAATGAGGAGGGCGTGTGCAGGTGCCTGAGTACGCAGCCAGGGGTACCGGAGGGAACTAGACACGCCTCTGGCTCGGCCCCAGGTCTGACCTCCAGAAGCCCTGGGGGGCCCAGGCCAGAGGGCAGAAGACTCGGGCACCCCCTCGCTCAGCATGCGGGTTGGAGGTGTGGCACTGGCGACAACGTCTCTGTCTTCGGATGGAGCGGTGAGTTTGCCGGCTAGGATATCGCGCTCCCAGCCCAGGTCTCTGGGGCAGGTTAGGAAGCAGGACTGGAACGCCGGCCTGCGGGTGGACGCAAGGGCGCACCCCAGCGGTCACGGAGTGAAACTCCGCTTGGCTACTGTGCTCCCAACTGGTCGCAGCTCCACTGGCTTAAATGGGGCGATTTACTTCTCGGTGGGTGACACGCCCGAGAAGGAGGAACTCTGCTGAGACGCTTCCATCCCGCAGATGCGGGGACCACAATAAACAGAGTCTGTGCAATCTATTTATGCAAAACACTGGTTTATTGCTCTGCAAGATTGCAGTCTACAGCCCGAGCTGGCTTTGCTGGTCCACTGGGTAGTGCGGGAAGAAATGTGTAGTTAATAATACGGTATCAACTTGATAGCTCCGTTCTTATCACAATTTTGTTATGGTCAATCTAAGCCTAATATCCCTTTTTCATAGTGTTTTCTGCTGCCCTAAATCTTCCCTCCGGAAAGCAATAATAGGAGGCCATCAGCAGAGCTTATGAGAAAATGGTCCTGCCGAGGCGTCGTGAGTGCTGGGGGGAGCTCCGCTCCCTGGGCAGCAACAGCGCGGCTCCTGGAAGGACCTGGGTCAGCAGCCCCGCCCAGGATCCTCGAAATGGGGCATTCTAGCTCCCGTGCGAGCGGGCTTGCGGTTGGGAGGTGGGGGCGCTGATGGGTCCCCCCTCTGGTTAGGGTGGGGGTTGTTTCCCATACAGGTTTGTGTGCAGTGAGGAGGGCTCAGTTCCTGACTCAGTACACACAGTAGGTGCTCAGCCAGTGATTCAGTACACACAGTAGGTGCTCAGCACGTGACTCAGTGCACACAGTGAGAACTCGGTGCATGACAGGAAGTGTGTGCAAACAGGTGTGTTTTTTTTTAAGATTTTATTTACTTATGTTTAGAGGGGAAGGGAAGGAGAGCGGGAGAGAACTATCAATGTATGGTTGCCTCTCATGCGTCCCCTGCCGGGAACTGGCCTGCAACCGAGGCATGTTCCCTGACTGGGAATCGAACCTCAATCCTGTGGTTCGCGCAGGCCTGCGCTCAATTCACTGAGCTACACCAGCCAGGGCCCAAACAGGTGTGTTTTACCAGACGTATGTGTCCCTGTCACACTGGGGCCTGGTCCCCTGAGCTCCCTTCTCCCTCCAGGGGCAGGACTCAGGGGCCTGAGTGCTGGGGACCGTACCTGTCCCTGTGTTGACCCCTGGGTGCACACCGCGTCCTCCCACCTCCGTCCAGGGAGTGCCCCTCGCTTCTCCCTGGTCACCAGACTCCCAGCCCCTGAGAACACGGGGATAACAGCTGCTCCCTCCCACAGTGACACCTCGCTCGTCCCTGTGGCCCCTGGTGATGAATGGGGTCAGCCCGTCACAGGCACGGGCAGCCAGTGGGCGGTCAGCCTGCCAGCTTGCCTGCGCTGGAAGCTGATGTGTCTTTAAACTGGGGTTTTTAAAACCTTGCAATGAAGTGGTTTGACCTTTGGTTCGAGATGCTGCCGTGACCTTATTACCGGCCGAGGAGACCACCTTCTGGGCTGGCCCTGCCTGCCAGTGCAGTGATGAGAGATGGCCTATTGCCGGGCCGATGGTGCGGAGCGTAGGTCTGACCTGCCGCATTAGACACGCTCCTCGGACAGCCCGGCCGGGCGGGGCTCTGGGGATGAGCACGGGTCCCAGGGGAGGACCGGTTTGGAGTCCAATAAAATGGATGAGGGGTCTGTGTACAGCCAACGACCTTTTCGAGGAAAGTTGCCAAGTGGACCTCGGTCTGTCAACTGCAGAATGGGGGTCTCTGACCTTTTCTTAAGAGAGATCCCATTTGTTATCCATTTTATGGAGTCTACATTCCGAAAGCGTCCCTACTCCCTGCCTCTCTGGACACATGCGCACCCGGCATCTATCAGCTTCTAATGCTCCTGTGGGGCCTTCCAACCGGAGACCCTCTGACTTCGCCACAGCGTCTGACACCATCGGCCAGTGGGACTTAGCCAAGGGAGCTTGAGGTCCCTGCACCTCAGGGACGGGCCATGCTGGGAGGTGGTGCGGGCCCTGTGTTCTGTGAGGGAGCTGAGGCCCCAGACGGGAGCCTTGGGCTGGGTGGTCTCCCCGGCGGAGAGATGGACGGAGCAAACGAAAAGCTAGGAACCCGAATTTGCACTGGACACACTTTTACCGAAACCCTGAAACTGAGGCGGGCCTGCTGCATGTCCTCTGCAGCCTGGCTGTGAGCCCTCCTCGATGGCCCATCTGTGACACCCAGGTCTCTGCCAAGGAGGAGACGGGGGAGCACAGAGTAATTTGGGGACAGGGAAGTGCTGTGAGAGTGTAGGGACACACAGAGGCCCTCACACATTTGTAGCACGTGCACTGGGGGGAAGCCACTGGCAACCGCTGTTGGGGATCGTGAGCGCCCACGTGTGTGTCCTCGATGGCAGCAGACACAGCGCAGTGGGGGGTGGCCATGGGGGTGGGAACGCCCCACCTTCCACCCTGTTTGGCTTGGACCTAAAACCCCACCAACAGCAAAGTTACAGGGAAATTAAGAGCAGTCGTGTTGGGCACTCCAGAGCCGATAGGGTGTGTGCATGTGGGTGTGTCCGTGGTAGGTAGATGCTAGGTAGGTGATAGGCAGGTAGGTAGGTAGATGGATGACCGATAAACGCTGCTTGATCTCGGGGAATTGGGTCTCACGACCGACTAGGCGGGCAAGTCCAGCATCTTCGGGGCAGGCTGTGTGGAGACCGGGGTAGGGCTGGCGTTGCAGCCTCAGTCGGAGGCCGCCTGGCGGCAGGGCGCTCTCTTCCCAGGGGCCCTGGGCTCTCTCTCCCAAAGCCTGCAGCTGACCGAGCGAGACCCCGCCCCCTTTACTGGCAGGCTGCTGGCTTAAGTGTCGGCCTCGCCTGTGGTGTGCCCTCACCGTGGCCTAGGTCCTCGGACAGGAACCTGGGCAGCGTGGCCCAGACAGGTCGGCAGGAAAGGGACCGTCACAGCGGTCTGCGAATGCACTGTCTCTGGGACGGCTGGAGTTCAGAAAAGCAGGAGTTTCTGTGCATGTTTTCTCAGGTAGAAACCTTTTCTTGATCAGAAAGGTAGTAACATACACTCACGTATTTAACCATAAACAGAGTGAAGAGCAGAGAGGAAAGAGGAAAAGAGCCCCCCCCCGTGCCCCCCCGGGGAGCCGCTGTCCCCTCTGAGCAAGCAGGTGCACACGCGTGTGCCCAGCACACGTGCCCCCGCACAAGGCGGCGGTGCACACACCGTGGTCCTCTGCCCTCTCCCAGCGGCGCCCTGAGCCCGGGAGGTGAGTGTGGGTGTCTGTCACCCTTCTTAACGGCTGCTGCAGGTCCATGGAAGCTAGCGGTCATCAGTGAGGCCACCGTCGGCGCGACCTTGGCTGCTCAGGTCGGTTCACTGCGATAGGAACACCTTTTGTCACAGATGTGTAATGACCTGCGTGGGACGCACTTCCTGGAAAGGCATGTCCGAGCTCGGGGCGCACCTGCCGGACTGGGGCTCCTGTTCAGCGGGCTGGGGGTCCCCGTGCTGCAAAGAGCATGCTTCTAAGTCTCGTGTTTGGGACCGGCTGCGTGGGATGGGCTGTTCACTGCTGTTTCCGGGCTGGGGTCCTTGGAACTGGACAGTCCTCGGAGACCTGTCCTTCCCCTGGTGACATCAAAGCCCTCTGCTCTGTCCGGCTGACGGTCATGAGGAGAACGGAGCAAAGACGAGAGAATGACGTTCCTGTAAGTCAAGTCAGGAAAAGCAGGGGTCTGCAGCCCAGCTCGCTCCACCCAGTGAAGCTCTCATTTAGGATCGAGGGGCCATAAAGTGCTTCCCAGACGAGAAGAAACTCAAGAAGTTCATCATCTTCAAGTCCTTATTATATGAGATGCTATAGGGACTGATTTAAGAAAAAGAAGACCAAAGCCATGAACAGTAAAATGGCAACAAATATGTATCAACAACTGAGTCTAAAAAATAAACTAGGCAAAGAACAGAGATAGAAACACGGATACGGAGGGCATTCCAATGGTTGTTAGATGGGAGGGGGTGCGGGAATGGGCGAGGAGGTGCGGGGATTAGGAGGTGCAGGCAGGGAGTTATAGAATACCCACGGGGGTGCAAAGTCCCCAGGAAATGGAGCAGCCCCAGAACTTATACACAGGACCCTGGGACGTGAACAATGGTTCGGGGGGTTGCCTGAGAGAGTGTGGGGTGCTGGGTGGAGGGGAGCAAAGGGGGAAAGAGCAGGATAACTGTAATAGCATAATCATCAAGAAATAACTAAAATTTTTCAATAAAAAAGGATGGCATCCCTTTGTCAGAATACAGCATGGTGCCCA